ATAAAACATTTCTATATTATTTAATGAAACATGCATTAATGAAAAAGTGCTGCCTAAATATACACAATATATATATATATATATATATATATATATATATATATATATATATATATATATATATATATATATAAAAAGGCTTAGACACTAATATTCCATGGTCATAATTTATTCCATTGGAATCGTAAATACGATCCAATTCATCAGACCTACAAATTCAAAAAAAAAAACAAAAAAACAACTCCGGAAATAAAAAACAGAATTTAGAGAGAGTCTAGAGAAGGAGGGAGATTAAACCTTAACAGAGAGAATTTTAGGAGAGCTGAGTGGAAGGGGTTTAAGTAAAGGGAGATATGAATGTTGTCGGATATCTAATGCATATATATATATATATATATATATATATATATATATATATATATATATATATATATATATATATATATTATGTCAGGTCACTCTCCGAGTGGTCCTTGTAACCTCGTACATGGTCAAGTAATCTACAATTAAATCAGTCCCCCGACGAGGTTTTTGGGTTGATTTGTATTTAAAAACTTCAAAGGGCTGATGAACCTACGTCAAAGGTCAACGACAATTTACAATAGACTGGGCTACATAGGTAAATATGTAGCCAGTGCGGTGTCGACACGACAGATCTAAGCGGAGGGCATCCCAGACCGAAGTCAACAGCCAAAAATGAGAAATTCCCCGTTGTAATCAAGGGCAACCCCTGTTAAACAATGTTCAGGAAAGAAGTCTTGTAGAGCATTTGACTCGGCCAAAGGAGGGTGATCCTCACTCAGAGCACTATTTATTAAAAAAAAGCTTGTAAAATGGAAACTAAAAGGAAACTTATACTTTAAATCAGAAAGAGACAGTTTCAATTTCTAGGTTAAATAATGAGGAAAGATTGCTTGGAAAATTTGATACTCACAGGTCAGATTGAAGTCAAAAGTGACATTGGAAAAGAACGCATAACCTATCTAGTTAGCTATAGTAAATGGATATCAGAAAAGGATTTAGGAGAGATAGCGAAATGCCAATGTTTACTAAGGCCTACAAAGGAGAGAAAATTGTGGAGAGCCTTGATCGCCTATGCCCGGATGGAACAGGTCACATATAAGAAGATGGTCAGATTAGCCTAAGAATTTTGAATAAATATTCTTGAATGAAGAGCATTATTCGTGGTCTTTCAAAAAACAATTGCCATCGTAATAACTTCAGCCCTGTCCAGGTCCAAGAGCGTTTTGGCCTTGTGCCAGAGTAAGCAAAATCAACAGTAGCATTCACAAGAATATGAAAAGATCGTTCAGGGACATTTCAAGAATTAAGCAATCGATTCCCAATGGATACACTCTCACGTCGTTCATGACCGTAGATGAGTAATTGGTACTATCCCTAAGCCCTGGAGATCTGTATTCTTGGCAATACACTTGCCTTTTCTATTCTCTGAGGATTCCTGGTAATAGTAAACACACATGGCTCTACTTTCACTTCAATAAAGGCATGTGCCGCGTTTCATATTATTGTGTATCTTCAGTGAAGCGAGAGACACTGATCATTTAACCATTCCATGATACATTCCACAGGAATCGACCAATAAAAGACAACTATCCTGTTTTCCTATTCCTCCGAGATCAATATACTGAGGATGGGTATTCATAGTTGGAATACCAATAGAAAGATCTGCAATATAATCGATCCTGACCTGGCATCTCGATCTCAGCCACTTTCTCACTGACGTAACTGTGGCGTCCCTCTGTCTTTTCTACAAATATTTTCGTGGCAACTGCTCTGACGAGTTTTTTTTCCCTGATGGCCCGACTACATGAACTTAAGCGTGCTACTAGATTGGCATTTAGGTCCCACACTTTTAACTATTGAAATAGCTAAATTCAACTGACACTTCTATTCCAACAGTTTCTTTTCTCGCACTTCCTACCTGTGGAACTCCTTTCTGATTTCTTGCTTCCCTGATAACTACAACCTTGAAAAAAATTAATCAAGACTTTTATTTTCTTGAACGCAAGTCAATTTTCGTACTTTCCTCAATCCTCCCCATTCTCAATCTTCTCATTCACATTCAATTTCACTCCATGTAAACCCCTGTGTTCTAGTGACATTTTCGTTGTACTTCACTCACCATGAGCTTATTTCTTTACTATAAAACACTGAAAATAAATGTTAAACCTTCTTATTCCGGTTGACAGGGATTCTACTCTAATGACATAATCAAGATGTTGCTATTCCACACTACTTCAAACAAAAAGTTAGGAAGGAAACCGTCATCAACACTGGAAAGAGTGATAACAGCTACTGGATTTCAGAAAACTATTTTCTTGAAAAATTGTATTAAGAGAAAGATTTTATTAATTTCAGCCGAACCAATAATATCTGATGAATGTCAAAAGTATCCTTATAAGGAAATGGCTATTATTAACGTTTTAAGAGATTACGATTAAGATTAAGACGAGGAGACCGGATATTACAATATTATCACAACCTGATGACAAGGGAGTAAAGATAAGCGTAACTCGAACAACACTGGATACTCTGTCAATGAATGTAAAAAGTTTCCTTATAAGGAAAGGGTTTATATTATTACCATTCTAGGACTGTGAGAATTAAAGATACGCTGTTGACACCGTGTCGATGGCGGATGCAGAAAGAAAAAAACAGAAGTGCCTAGACAGGATAGAAAAGAAAAAACGAAAAGAAAGGACTAATCATTAATTATAAAACAGAAAGTATGGCCAAGAGCAAAAGGTATAGTCCAAGTTACGAGCTACGAATTGGAATCTTCAGAATCAACAAATGTAGTTGTTAACGCCCAATCCTCCTAGGGCCAAGGGATCAGCGCAGGCATCTCACAATGTTCGCTTCTCGGTCCACGAGAGGAGACATTTCATCAGCATCGACTAAACAATGTGACAACTCACCAATAGCCTACTCCCTGCGAGAACAACTTAACGTTGTCTTCGAATTCGTAGCTTCAGATCGGTTTTGGCTGTCAAAGTGTGCACATCTCTTAGATTAACTATGAGTCGTAGAAATCTTGGCTACTTATCTTAGTGATATTATCCAAGATCATATTAAGTTTAGCATTTCTTACTCATCGACGCATTGATACTTATGTTGACGACCTCACTGCCGTCTTACCTAAAGGACTTGCTGCAGTGCTGAATTGGTTCGAAGATATTGGAAGAACAAATCGACGTTGAACCAGTAGAAGACATCTTCAATAATTTTTTAAATTAAAAATAAAGTCATGTATTGAAAAATTATCCTTAACAAATGACGTTTATTTGTTTTTAAAAAATCGACGAAAAAATGTAATATTTTGTTGTTGAATTGTCCTCGCGCTGGTGGCGGTGAGTTGTCCTGGAGTTGTCATGAAGATGAATCGGCGGTGTTGAGTCGGCGGTGTTGAGTCGGCGGTGTTGAGTCGGCGATGGTGAGGTGTCTTGCATACATCGGTTCAACCCTATTTCTCCTTTATATAAATGATTTACCAAGAAGTATAACACGATCATTTGTGAATATCTATGCTTATGATACAGCGGCATATTCGTGACCCTCCAAAAATCTTGATAACCAGATCTACGTAGTTAATCCCGCCACTGACCTTCCTCTCATGGCTCAGTCGTGGAAAAACTGGTAGGTCACGGTCAATGCCTCGAAAACCAAACTAGTAACATTCCATCATCATCGAGCGGACCAAGAAATTTCAGCGCTCAGGGTGAACGGCTGTTTACTCGGTGAGGCCTCGTGTCTTGAGCGCATATTGGAACAGAACCTCACCCAGAACTCAGGGGAAACTGGTATATACAATACAACTCTAAAGATGCTGGAAAAATGGTCGATTCTATGTACCGCTCCAGTAAGTACCTGATTCTTCCTGCTACCCTCCACCTTTACAAGAGCCAGATCAGGTTGGCAATAAAGTACTGCTGCCATATATGAACAGGGGTTGCCCAGGCTTCACTTTTCAATCTCGACTCAAAAAGCGTCTCCGTCTCCTTGCATTTTCCACCCTACAACCCCTTTCCTCACAGACGAAAGGTCGCAAGACCCTCACTGCTCTATCGCTATTTCCAGACGAACTACGTTCCTTAGTTAACCAGTTCTAACCTTCACGATTAAGACCAACCATGCCCATTGCAGCGAACCACTCTCATTCCCTTTGTATGCCATTGGTAAGATATCAGTTTCTCGTGAGCACCTTCTCACCACGAACCCTTGCTTTGTGCAACCGACTACCAAGATCACTACAATCTTAATCTGTTCAAATATAGGGCCGACAATTATCTTACCCTCGTGTGATTCTTACTATGTAACCGTCTATATCGAGTGGCTCTTGGGCCTTGTACAGGTTGAACATCAGAGTAAAAGTGCAGAAATTTAACTGTCGAGTAAATCTTATAACAGAGGATGGAAATATGACAAAAACTTCCGAAGCTAGCAATGTAAATTTGAAAGAGTCCTAAGAAAATTATTTCGCAAAAGGAAAATTTCGTTAGAAACAAAGAAAAAGTGCTAAAGTGCTATTCCATATTAATCCCCCTACATCGTTTTGAATGCTGGGAAATTTCCTCAACGATAAAGAAGAGTCTTGAGATAGCAGAGATGCCGTTCTACAGAAGGATGCTGAGAATGCCATTAACAGAAAATGTTATCAACGAAGAAGTGTTACGGAAAATAGGAAGAAAAAGAGACCTCTACTTAGATTCAGGAAGGAAGAGGCGATTGAAATTTCTTGCACGCATACTGAAGAAAGAAGGCGTGGAGAATTGGACACACTCAAGACAAATTGAAGGTGAGAAGACCAGGAAGAAACGGTTTGTAACCGACCTAAAACGTTGCTAAAAGCAACAAAAAATAGGACGTTGTGGAGAGCCATAATCACCCACTTTCTGAAGGATCAAGCATTGTCGGATAATATGTTTCTATCGAACGCTTGAGTTCCGAACGATTTTAATAATACAATGCTCAAGAGCCACTCAATCTAGAAAAAGCAAAATCCATCTCTGCCGCGTCTCAGTATGGAATAAAAACCAGCGGAGAATGGGATAGAAAGCATTGAACAGAACAGAACTGAAAGAAAGAAAGAAAGAAAGAAAGAAAGAAAGAAATGAGCAGAAGGGAAAGTAAGAAAGAAAATGGAAAAAAGAAAGAAAGAAAGAGATGAGAAAAAAGAAAGAAATGAGAAAAAAAGAAAGAAAAGAGAAGAAAGAAGAGAAGAGAAGAGACGAGAAGGAAGGAAGGAAGGAAGGAAGGAAAAAGGAAGGAAGGGAGGAAAGAAAGAAAGAAAGAACGAAAGAAAGAAAAAAATGAGCAGAAGTAAGAAAGAAAATGGAAAAAAGAAAGAAAGAAAGAAAGAAAAGAGAAGAAGGGAAAGTAAGAAAGAAAATGGAAAAAAGAAAGAAAAGAAAAAAGAAAGAAAAAAAAAAAAAAGAAAGAAAGAAAGAAAAAAATGAGCAGAAGGGAAAAGAAAGAAAATGAAAAGAAAAAAAAATGAAAGAAAAAAGAAAGAAAGAAAGAAAGAAAGAAAAAGAAAGAAAGAAAAGAAAGAAAGAAAGAAAGAAATGAAAGAAGGGAAAAAAGAAACAAAATGAAAAAAAGAAAGAAAGAAAAGAAAGAAAGAAAGAAAGAAAAAAAAGAAGGGAAAAAGAAAGAAAAAGAAAAAAGAAAGAAAGAAAAAAAGAAAGAAAGAAAGAAAGAAAGAAAGAAAGAAAGAAAGAAAGAAAGAAAGAAAGAAATGAGCAGAAGGGAAAGTAAGAAACAAAATGGAAAAAAGAAAGAAAGAAAAGAGAAGAAAGAAAGAAAGAAAGAAAGAAAAGAAAGAAAGAATGAAAGAAAGAAAGAAAGAAAGAAAGAAATGAGCAGAAGGGAAAGTAAGAAAGAAAAAGGAAAAAAGAAAGAAAGAAAGAAAATAATCGGGATTGAATGAAAGAAAGAAAAATAAGAAAATGAAAAAAAAAAGTAATAGAGAAAAAAAAAGAATGTAAGAAGGAAATTAATATACAGAAAGAAATAAAAGTCATTAACAGAAGTGAAAGAAAGAAAGGAATGATCTGAAGGAAAAAAAGAATGACTGAAGGCAGGAAAGAAAGAAAAAGAAAGAAAATGATCGGGATTGAATGAAAGAAAGAAAACGAACCAAACTGAAGGAATAAAGATGAAAGAAATAGAAAAGAACGAAAGCATCTAAGAAAGAAAGAAATGAATGAAAAAGAAAGAAAGAAAGAAAGAAAGAAAGAAATGAGCAGAAGGGAAAGTTAGAAACAAAATGGAAAAAAAGAAAGAAAGAAAGAAAAGAGAAGAAAGAAAGAAAGAAAGAAAGAAAGAAAGAAAAGAGAAGAAAGAAAGAAAAGAGAAGAAAGGAAGAAGAGAAGAGAAGAGACGTGAAGAAAGAAAGAAAGAAAGAAAGAAAGAAATGACCAGAAGGGAAAGAAAGAAAGAAAGAAAGAAAGAAAGAAAGAAAGAAAGAAAGAAAGAAACTAATGAAAAAGAAAGAAATGAGCAGAAGGGAAAGTAATAAATTAAATGGAAAGAAAGAAGAAAAAAAGAAAGAAAGAAAGAAAAAAAAAAAGAAAGAAATAAATAAATAAAGAAAGAAAAGAATCGAGATTGAATGAAAGAAAAGAAATGTGTGGAATTCAAAGAAAAACGAAAGAAAAAAGAATTGAGTTCATTGGAAAGAAAAAAAGAAAAAAAGAAAGAAAGAAAGGAAGGAAGGAAGAAAGAAGGAAAGAAAGAAAGAAAAAAGAAAGAAAGAAATGAAATAACAGCTAAAGCTGTTCCCTCCGACCAAATACCATCGGCAAAGGAAAATGGTAAATTTCAATTCTACCTCGCTTCAGGTGTGGGATAAATACCAGAGTTGATTGGAGTCTGACGTCTCGGATGAAAACAAGCATGGAAGATTGAAAATTCCGAATCCAAATAAAGTGCAAAACCACTTCAATAACCGTACGGAAGAAATGATAACAAATCCCAGAGATAAAAGAAAAAGAAACATTGGGAAGATGATCGACCTTCCGCTAAAATCGTTGCCAGCGGCGGCTAGAGAGTCTAGTCTGCCAATTACAGTCCGGAAAAGAGACGTATGTATGGCCTTCTCAAGGTTATTAGCACGATTTCACGTTCAGAACGCTTTTACTAACACAAGACTCAAGAGCCACTCAGTGTAGACGTTTCCGGAATGGAGTTGTCTTCGAGATGTAAAAATGCTAGAATATGCGGATATGTAGGATAGAAAACGGTTGACCCGAAACTTGAAGTGGTTATAATTGTAGCGATCGAGAAAGGATCTCCTTGGGAGTTTGTTACACAAAGGAGGGGTTCTTGGGAGGAAGCCATCCTACTTCTTACCCATTGGATACGAACGGAATGAAGATGGTTAGCTCTTGAAACAGTGAACAGCTCTAACATGGCTCTGAAGGTCTGAACTGGTGGAACTCGATAATGTAGCTCGTCAGAATCATTTTTATGGAAATAGCTATAGAACAACGAGAGGCTTGCGATGTTGGGTCTCTCTGAAAGGGCGTGTAGAGTTAAAAAATAATTCATCACCCACAAGGCCACGTAAACACTGTTGAACTCAGTCGTGGCTGAAAAAGTGGGGATTGGGCAACTCCAGCTTATGTATGGCAGCAATGATCTATATCTAGATCTGATCTGACTCTTGTAAAGATAAAGCTAAGTAGAAGCGAGGTACATTTCGGGGCGCTCTAAGAAAGCGACCGTATTTAAGCGTCTTTAGTGATGGATCCTAGAGACAGGATCCACTTGAGGTTTCCGGTGAACTTGCATTCGAGAAGAAGCTCAATACAAGAAGTCTCTTTGAGAGGTCAACCTTTCATGGTGCGAATTCAGGGTCAGCTCACTTATGATGAAAACTTAGTTGCGAGGTATCAAAAATGACAAGCCAGTTGTTACCACATAGATCTGTTAAAGCTTGGTCAAAGGAGAGATCAGCTGTCAGGCCCTTACGTATTGAATAAATAAAAAAAAGGCAAATATTCATCTTAATATTATTAACTACAAATCAAAGGTATTGTTGGTAATTCTGATATAAACAGGTCTTATTGGTAAAACTTTTCTTATACTGGGTGTAACATCAAAACTATGCAAGTCTTAAAACAGCATGGGATAATTGTCAATCCCACAAAATGTTTAATATCTAAAATGCCACTAATTAAGTTTCTTTTTTTCCAACTTTTCAGATAAGACGTTTAGCCATCTTGACACCGTTTGTCGTAAGAATCACTGAAAAACCCTTTTGAGTTATTCAGCTAGAAAGAGAACAGGTTAGAATCATTTTGTGTCAGCCTCACTATGTCTTCTCAACGGAACAACGGTGAGCGGAAAAAGATCATTCAGGTCTTCAGTAATGGTACCAACTTCATACTCTGGCTTCCATCTTTGAAGTCCATTCAAGAACCATCAAGAGAATGGTGACTAAGTTTAAAAAAGGAAGAGTAGAGGGGAAAACTGGATCAGGAGGTCACAACAGGAAGAGTGATCATCATTTCATTTTAGAACTGAATGCATTATTATTGTACAAAGTAGAGTTCAATAGTGTTATAATATCCATGGGTAATTCCAGTAAGATATCTTTAATCATTTCTAAGATACAACGGTTCAAAGCTTAATATAACAATTAAACAATTTTGCTGTTGCAGGATTTGGAAAATGTTGCTGTTACACCCGGAAAATAAAAATGTGCCGCTAGTATTTATACTAAAAAATGTATTTTTACACATTCATAATCATTTTTTTTAACCTCCCAATTTGCCCGTTACTGGGATCCAAACAGGTGCTACCACCCAGGGTTAGGGTGGTCCTTGGAACAACAGCAACTAAGAAGTGGTTCTACACAAATCACAACCTCCAGGTTACATCTGCGCTATGGCCAACAATTTCTCAGTCCCCACAGCCAACATTCCGCTGGCGTTGACATTAAATCGACCGTGTCACATTAGGGCAATGAGGGAGATGCTGCTGGAGGGTTGGGAACGCCGCATAATTCTTCTATTGCTCAGCTGGATTTAAACTGTATTCTCTTATTGTTATACCTGACGTACCTATTCTATTATTAATAGACTCTCCCACACATAATAAGTAGTAGTAGTAGTAGCGGTCACCAGTTCGGCTCAGTGGTGTTGAGCGAGTCAGTCGATATCGGACATTGAAGTACTAATCATCACAACTAGATTGCTGCGTCATTAACTCTTATTTCAAGTTCCTAAAGTTTTGTACGTCGAACCTAATTTAGGACGACTTATTGAAATACAAGCCTCCACTGTGAAAACTACTCTACAACAATTATGCTTAAATTTGTTTGATCTTCTGCGAAACAGACCTACTAAAAATTACTTAACAGTAAATAAAAGTGAGACTGAAATCGGAAGGGCCAGTGGGGTAGATAAATATGCTTTCCAAAATCTAAGCAAAGTATTGAGAAAAAGAAGAAAAAAAATTCGTTAAAAGTAAAGAGTAGTGAACTGTTCTGTAATATAAGTCTTCCTATATCGATGAGAATTCTGGACAATATCCTCTCAGTTGAAGAAGAGACCTGAAGAAACAGATGGATTTTTTGGAATACCATGGACCAAATATGTGAGCAACGAGGAAGTTTTAAAGACAATGGAAACAAAAAGGAGACTTACACTTAACGTCAGATAGAGACAGTAGAAATTTCTAAGGAACATAATGATGAAAGAAGGCTTGGTAAATCTGATACTCACAGGACAGATTGAAGGCAAGAGGGATAGAGGAAAACAACGCATAACCTCTCTAGCGAACTTGAGTAAATGGATGACGGAACAGGGTTTAGGAGCGATAACAAAATGATAAAATTTATTAAGAGCTACAACGTTCAGGAAATTATCATGGCCACCAACGTCCTGAAGAGTCACGCCACTTACAATAAGTGAATACTGGAATCATATAACAAATCTTCGTTGGAATTGAAGCGATTTATATAAATGAAGACATTTATAGATCGACATTTGTTTAATAACGGACAAGAGCAGTTCATATTGAAGAATATATTTCGCATGCTTTATAAAAGTCGTTTTGTTTTTATTACTAGAAATCGACAGGGGAGTAGAAACGATGCAAGATTTGAATGCAAAGCAAAAACAAAAATAAATTGGCTTTTCAGGGGTGGGGGGAAGGAGGAAGAGAGAAATACACAAGATGGTGGCGTCGGCGAGAACAAAATGAAATACATTAATACGAAGGAGAATGGCGCGAGGAAAGAATGGCGGTTTAAGAAAGAAGTAAAGAAAGAAAGAACTGAACTGATGAAAGCATTAAAAGAAAGAAAGAAAGAAAAAAAGAACTGAATGGAAAGAAGGAAAGAAAGAAAGAAAGAACTGAGCTGAACGCAAAGAAAGAATAAAAGACAGAAATGAACTTAACGAAATGGAGGCATTGAAAGAAAGAAAGAAAGAAAGAAAGAACTGAAATGAACGCAATGATGACATTGAAAAAGAAAGAAAGAAAGCAAGAAAGAATTAACTGAAGATAAAGAAAGAAAGAAGGAAAGAAAGACGGAAATGAACTTAACGAAATGGAGGCATTGAAAGAAAGAAAGAAAGAAAGAAAGAAAGAAAAAAGAAAGAAAGAACTGAACTGAACGCAATGAAGACATTGAAAAAAGAAAGAAAGAAAGCACGAAAGAATTAACTGAAGATAAAGAAAGAAAGAAGGAAAGAAAGAAAGACGGAAATGAACTGAACGAAATGAAGTCATTGAAAGAAAGAAAGAAAGAATAAAAGTAATGAATTTCTTTTCTTCTTTATGTTCAGTTCATTCGTTATTACTTTCTTTGTTTCTTTCTTTTTTCAATGCCTTCATTTCGTTTAGTTTCGTTCTTTCTTTCTTTCAATGCCTTCTTTATAAAGAAAGGAAATGAAGGCAAAGAAAGAAAGAAAAAAAGAAAGAAAGAAAGAAGGTAATGTGCTGAAAAGAAAGAGAGAAATAATAAAGTAATGAACTAAATACAAAGAAGGAATGAAAGAAAGTTTATGAGCTGAAGGGAAAGAAAGAAACAAAGATTAATTACAATCAATAAACTGAAGGGAATGGACTGAAGGGAAAAAAGAAAGAATGAAAGAAAGAATGAAAGAAAGAAAGAAAGAAAGAAAGAAAGAAAGAAGGAAAGAATGAAATAAAGAAAGAAAGAAAAGAAAGAAGGAAAGAAAGAAAGAAAGAAAGAAAGAAAGAATGAAAGAAAGAATTAAAGAAAGAAAGAAAGAATGAAAGAAAGAAAGAAAGAAAGAAGGGAAGAATGAAAGAAAGAATGAAAGAAAGAAAGAATGAAAGAAAGAAGGAAAGAATGAAAGAAAGAAAGAATGAAAGAAAGAAGGAAAGAAGAAAAGAAAGAAAGAAAGAAAGAAAGAAAGAATGAAAGAAAGAAAGAAAGAAAGAAAGAAAGAATGAAAGAAAGAATGAAAGAAAGAAAGAAAGAAGTAAAGAAAGAAGGAAAGAAAGAAAAAATAATGAAAGAAAGAGAGAAAGAAAGAAAAATGATCGGATTGAAAAACAGGAGAAAGAAGGGAAATTAATGGAATTGAAAGAATGAAAAACAGAAGTAAAAGAAAAAAAATCTTCGAGTAGGAAATAAGCAAGAGAAGAAGGACAAAAATGACACCCAGAGAAAAAAAAAAACACATTTCTATAAAACGGAAAACAAAGCAGAAGTCTGAAATGTCATAGAAACCATTTGATGAAAAGGAAAAGGAAAGAAGAAAAGGAAAAGATCAAAAGAAAAAAAAAAAAAAACATACAAAAAAACGAAAGGAAAAAGAAAGGAGAAATGTATCAAATGAAGATGATAAAATACTTGATGAATAAAATAAACTTCTGAGGAAGTTTGAAATTCAAATGAATCTTTCAATCTGGATTTGGCAATTGTATCTGTCATCGAGAAGTGAAAAGCGTTTATCAGAAAACAAATATCACCGTTTGGACGGGCAAATGAGGGAAACTGAAGTCGAATAAAGAACAGAAAGAAAAAAAAGATGCATTTAGGAAGAGATTTGAAAAGAAAAAAGAAACTTTAAATCTAAAAAAAGAGTATCGGAATGAGTAAATCCTTGGGCAAAAAAATATCTCTACAAACAATAGGTAAAAATCTCATCCATCTTTTTCCACATCCCTATAAAGCTCCTATAAATGTCTCCTGCTATCCTTTCTCTTTACAAGACGTAAATCAAGCCGACAAATGATCTACATCTGCCTATATCTCTTAGCTAGGGTATTTGGATTACTTGCATTATTAAAATTACTCGGACCGTTATCCACACGAGTTGTGAGTTCAATACCACGCTACAGCAGTGGTGAACAAAAAAAAAAAAAAACAAACTTAGAGAGTTGAGTTAAAAGATGAATAACTGCGTGCGCATCCGGAAGAGGCATGGCACGTGGAAATATAACGATCGACTGCAGTGGATGAAATAAAGAGTTCGGATTGAAATTCCATTCTCCTGAAGAAGGTCAGAGCGCCCAACGGCCGAAAAGTTGTGAATATGGCAGTGAAGATGGGGATAATGGTGCGAATATTGTAAACAATGTAATTAAATGAATTTCCCATTCATATATGGGCTGGAGCTGAGTAGACTTCACTTTCCATTCTCCGAGTACTTGTGGGTGATGAATTACTTTCAACACAACACGCTCTTTCCCATAGACGAAACGACGCAAGACCCTCGCTTATTCAGTCGCTACACCCATGGAAATTGTTAAGAAGTACATTCCTTAGTTTCACACACACACACACACACACACACACACATATATATATATATATATATATATATATATATATATATATATTCAATATATCACTTCCGTTAAGTTAACCGTCTAAATAGGTCAAGGTCTGGTCACTCCTCCTCCCCCAATACAAAGTATACTTGAGAGAGATATGAAATTAATCCCTCCCTATACTCTATCATGTCTCTTTAACTATTCCTTTTACACTCTCTGTTAAATTACAAAAACTTACACTACCCATCAATTTTAATTTCATTTTTTGATTCATTTCATTTTTGGAAGTGCTATCTGATGATCCGCGTCGTCCTCAAAAAAGGGCTCTGGTGAAATAAATTATTATAATGGTACTTTTTTAAAGTGGTCTGTTTTCTTTTCTATTTTTTAAATATTAGCTCTGGATTTACATTGAGCTCTCAGGATTTCATCCTCCTTGGGATTACCCATACGGATTACCAAGTTCTTGGGTTAATTTTTTTTTATTTTTGACTTCTGTGTTCACTTTTATATATATATACATATATATATATATATATATATATACACATCGATGAACTTTTGTTCAAACGTAATGAAAATGCATGCTCTATTTTTTTGTGTATGAATTTCTATGATGGGGAATTGTCATTATTTACACTATTTACATTTGGTTATATAGTGATTGTAAGTTCAATCCCGGATGCATTGCATGCATATGTAAACGTGTTTCTATATTACGTACCTCCACGAGTTCGGTATACGTAAGGTTTAATTTTTTTTTTTTAATAAAAAGGTCTTCCTGATGCATTCATTTTAAATTTAAATGAAAGCTAAAGGATTAAATTTACTATACCCGGTAAGCAAAATACGTTGGTTTATTTCAGACAGAAATTATATTGATTAGAACAGAGTTGCATTTTTTTTTCAGTAAAATCGATCACGTCAGCCAGTTTTTAGAGATTTGTAAACAAAACTTATTTTTGCGTTTTAAAAATCTTACAAAAATAAAATATATATTTCTGGAACGTTATTTGAGGAAAATTAGCAAAGTTATAGTTGTTAGTCTTATCTGAAACAAATATTACTTACTTATAGGGTAAAATGCTGTATACAAGCATTTTCTAATGACGGGATTTTGTTTTTGTGACGCGTTCGTCTATTTATTGACGGTGGATTGACCGCCGAACGTGATCATAATTGTCTCTGATGAAGCAGACGACTTTAGAGTTTTGTTGTTTTTTTTTTTTCTTGCAAGGTGGGGGGACAACCCTTAAAATACTTGACATTTTATTAATAGATTTATCGGTTCTACATGAATATTTCAGAAATTGTATATATATATATATATATATGCAAGAATGCATAAACATAAAAATGTCTTAATATATATTAAGAAATTCTTATTTTTATACATTCTTTTTATAGATACAGATATTTAAGTAAATGCTATGTTTATACTAAACAATATTAATGTCATTTACCGGCCTGAATATCCGAGAAATTTTCATAGAAAATATTCGTCCTACGACAGGAATCGAACCTGTATCCTATACGGAACCGTCATATAGCCTGACGTGCTTTTACCGATTGAGCCACAGAGGAGCGTTTCGGTTAGCAAAGTCGATTTTACTCTATTTTAAACTATAATTCTCCATGATTTACAAGTATAAGTAAGTAATAGTTTAAAAAAACCACCCACACATAGAAGCTTACAGCCCCTAGTATTCCCAAACCGTTACCCATCTAGATTCTGACCAGACTCGGCGTTGCGTAACTTCTGTGATCGTATGGAGAACAGTCTTCTAGCATCATATGGCCGAAAGCATAGATAGATAGATAGATAGATAGATAGATAGATAGATTAAAAAAAATGAAACAGATCCTTTTGTATGCGGTGTCTCTTCAGTAAATGGGTGATCATGGCTATTAAGAACTTGCCTGTCATTTGTAGCTTTTATCAATCAGATGGCCATTATGAATGTTACGCGCTCTTTCAAAGTCCTGTCAGTGTCTAATTTTATGACTCGCCTTTTCGCATTATGTGCCATAGTCTCTTTCTCATTCTAACTAAAAGTTTTTTTTTTCGTTTTTCCATTTTCTTTCTGTAGCACCACATCTACGTTGGTATTACGTTGTCCGTATATTGTCTTTTCTTCATCTCTGAGGAAAGTGTTCATACACGAGGATTGATATTACGTAATCCAGCTCTCTTCTCTTTGTTTCTAATGAAACATTTCTTGTTTCTATTCCTGTTTATGTTGGTTATCTTTCGAAACGCATATTTACAAAAGATAACTATGGATAATGAGACAGGAATCAATCGATAAAATACTGACTTCTGGTAATTGGTCGAATTCCAGCATTTAAAAGAGAATCCCTCCCCCCAAAAGGTTAATCGTTCGAGGGAAGGAGGCGAGTTCTTTTCAAAATGTAAAAACAAAAACTTGCGTGATGATATTTTTAAAGAATAATAATAATAATAATAATAATGATGATGATAATAATAATAATAATAAATGAATGATGATAATAATAATAATAATAATAATGATGAATAATAATAATAATAATAAATAATAATGATGATGATAATAATAATAATAATAATAATAATAATAATAATAATAATAATGATGATGATAATAATAATAATAATAATAATAATAATGATGATGATAATAATAATAATAATAATAATAATAATGATGATGATGATAATAATAATAATAATAATAATGATGATGATAATAATAATAATAATGATGATGATGATGATGAAAATAATAATAATAATAATAATAATAATAATAACAATAATAATAATAATAATGATGATGATGATGATGATGATAATAATAATAATAATAATAATAATAATAATAATAATAATAAATAATAATAATAATAATAATAATAATGAAAAGAAAACAGAAAAAAAAAAAATATTCAATAATAAAAGAAGGCAGTAAATACAAACAACATTTACATTTAGTAGATTCTGTAGTAAATCAAAACAGAAGCCAAGAACCAACTATTGCAGCAAAAGATATGAAAAAAGAAAGCCAAGGATAAAGCCCTTGAACAGATGAAACAACGCTGACAAGACAAACCTCTGCATGGCCAATATCCAGAACGTGCAAATAAACCCAATGTTGATAAAGTTAATACTCATCGATGGTTACGAGCATCTGGATTAAAGTCTGAAACTGAAGGCCTTTATTCTTGCAGCGCAAGACCAGAGTCTTTTTCACTAGGAATTTTCAGGCAAATATCATACATAATAATGTGGATCCAAAATGCAGGTTCTGTGACAAATACCAAGAAACAATAGACCATCTAATCTCAGGATGTTCTATACTTGCCCCAAATGAATATAAAAATCGTCACGATAGAGTGGGGCAATACTTACACTTGACAATGTGCAAACACTTTGGAAAATGTAAGCAAACACTGGTATGAACATCGGCCAGCGCCGGTTACAGAAATAGAAGATGTCACCATTCTAAGGGATTATACCATCCACACAGACAGAAAAAATTGAAGCAAATAGGCCGGACATTATTGTTAAAAAACCAGAAAGAAAAAAACTTGCCTACTAATTGATATGGCTTGTCCAGCGGATTGTAACATAGCAACCAAGGAATTTGAAAAACTATCAAAATACAAAGACCTGGAAATTGAAATAGAAAAATGTGGAAATTGAAAACAAGAATAATACCAGTGGTAATAAGGTGCACTTGGAATTATAAAAATGGAACAAAACAACACATTGAAAGAATCCTGGAAACCCCAGCTTAAGAGACATACAGAAAATTGTCTTATTAAGTACAGCACACACACTAAGGAGAACTTTGTCTATGTAACGCTAGCAACTTCATCGGAGATAAAAAAAAAAAAAAAAAAAAAAAAAAAATTAACATGAAATGTGGCATAACAACAACACACCACGACCTGCCTTAGGTCTTTCCGCAGACTTGGTAGGTAGTGTGTCCATAATAGAAATAATAATAAATAATAATAATAATAATAATAATGATGATGATGATGATGATAATAAAAAATAATAATAATAATAATAATAATAATCGACGGTTTTGCCAAAATAATTATTGAATTTTTTGTCTGTTTATACAGGATTCGATCAGTTGACGGCGGCAAAATTCGATCAGTTGACGGCGGCAAACTTAATTTGCTATCAAAATAGAAATTGCTGATTGATCAGTTCATTGAAAATGAAAATTGATACTTGTGTTTGTGTGTGTGTGTATGTGTGTGT